TAAAAAATTATGCTACATAAATGATAAAAATGCAGGTCTTAAAAATGCCTTCAAAAGTCATAATTTGCCCTCCAGCAAATTAAGGCCTTAAAATTTCTTAAATCTGAGCCTAAAGTCTTGAATTCATAAAGTCATTGCATTAAATGTTGCGTACACTGCAAAAAATAAATATCTTCCTCAAAATTTGTGTCTTGTTTTCCAGTTCAAATATCTAAACATCCTTAAATATTTGAAAAAGTCTTAAAAAGTCTTAAATTAATATTCATAAGACCTGTGGAAACCCTGTAGACATACATTATAAAAACAAGTCTTTTTAAAGAAAAAATATAATTTTTTTTAAGAATATCAAATTTTTTTATTAGACAAAAAGTGAAGAAAACAAAAAAAGAGTGTAGGTTTTTTTTTCTTCTTCTTTTTTTAGCAGTTTAATATCTATTTTCATTGATTTGACAAATCATTTTTTATTTGAATGGAGTCAGACAATCTTTTAAGTTTCTGGTCCATTTAAATTTTAAACCATTTCCTCATTTCTTTCACTTATATCATACAACCAAATTATAAAATAAATGATTTGTTTTTAATAGGCTTACACAATAAACAAATCTAATATTGCGCCACACACACACAAAAAACACATTCCACAACAAGTGCCGATATTTCTTTCCTTTACTGCCCTCTACTGTCCACAACATCAATGTTCATGAATGTTCTATTTTGGAATTCATAACATTGAAAAATTCTGTCCAATCAGAGATTGATGAGGAGCCCACTGTGATTGATTAGCTATTAAGATCCTTTCTTCTGTGACAAAGGGAACCAATCGGTAAGCTGATTCCTCATTGCCATGGTGGCACGGCAGGGTCAAACTCTCTGGGCGATCCAATGGACATGTTGACGCAGCATTTGAGTTCAAATGAGCCAATGGGAAAGTGTTTCTGTCTCTGTGATGGGCCAATGGAAAAGCGGATTGTGTGTGATGAGCCAAGTAACCGTCCAATGAGCTGTCAGATGTTGCTGACAACGAAATCAAAGCACTCCTACTTCCCAGAAACCCTGGCCTAGTTACACCTGAGAAAGAGACACCGTTTACAATGCAGACTATGTAATTCTACAATAAAAACGAGACATCAGCACTTACCCAGTGATCCACAGTTACTTGGTTCTTCCTTTTGTTCCCTCCTCATCCTTGCTCTGCGATTGGAGAACCAAACCTTCAGATGGAAGATCAAGATCAAGTCAAACATCTAGCACAAGCCCCTTTAAATATATGTCTGCCAACTCTGGAAGCCTCATTTTCATATGACAGATTTTGAGGAACAAAAGTTGTTAGCTCAAGTTTTAAATCTGAATTGCCTTTATAGTGTTCTGTGGAAGGTTTGTCTCCTCAGACAGCTTTTCTCTGGTCAGAAGGTCTGGATAAAGTTCACGGATGAACTCTGAATGGCCAGAAATCAGAAGGGGAGATGTTATAATGTGTCTCAGTATAACAGCACACAGATGACTCTGAGCAGACAGTGAGAGATTGAAACGATCACCTTTCTCTAACCTCTCACTCTGATATGGAGTGAAAGCTGTTCTGCTGCGATGAGAGGTGCCTCGCCGGTTTGTGTTCATTTGTTGCTGATTTGTCTCAGCTGTTGTGTGTAAACCCCTCTGCTCGTCCACTTGTTCCTCTAGGGTGACAGGAAGTCAAAGTGGGAAGGTTAGTAGACAAATTTGTTTCAAGGCCTACAAGTAGGATGAATACATGTAGGACATTTACACTTAATCATCTTTATCATTATTCTTTACTAAACAGATGATCAGAACATGCCACACTTGACCTGCATTCACCCTATAGCATTGAAACAGATTACCTGTGTAACTGTGTTTTACATTTGGATATGCACTGCTCATCATGTCCACATCTAGATGGATCTTCTTAAGAATCCGGTTTATGGAAGACACCTGATGACATCATTGATTCATGAGTCATACACACATTTTTCCTGATCAATAAGATTGGAAATGTTCAATACTTTTTTTGTAGGCTGGACTCGTGCATTTAAAGAAATAGTTTACTCAAAAATTAAAATGTGCAGAAAACTTACTCAGCCTCAGGTCATCCAACATGCAGATGAGTTTGTTTCTTCATCAGAAAAATGTAGCATTACATCACTTGCTCACCAGCAGATCCTCTGCAGTGAATGGGTGCCGTGAGAATGAAAGTCAAAACAGATGATAAAATCATCACAATAATACTCAATTAAAGTGAAAAGCTGCGTGTTTGTAATAATCAAATTCATAATTAAGACATTTCTAGCCATTGTTTTTTTGGACCCTCATTCTGATGGCACCTATTCACTGCAGAGGATCCATTGGTGAGCAAGTGATGTAATGCTCAGTTTCTCCAAATCTGCTCCAATGAAGCAAACAAAATCATCTACATCTTAAATGCCCTAAAGGTTAGTAAATTTTCCTTTTTAAGAAATAGTTCGACCCAAAATTGAAGCGCTGTAATCATTTACTCACCTTCATGTTGAAGATAGAAAGTCATACAGGTTTGGGCCGATATAAGGGTAAATAAGTGATAACACAATTTTAATTTTGGGGTGAACTATCTCTTTAATTTGTCTTTCAAAATTACACGTTTACATATTTGAATCAACAGCAGCTTTTGATGTTAAACTTTTTAATATTTGATATTGACCTAGTAAAGAAAAATCAACCAAAATCAATCAAGTTTTAACCCACACTGGGGACTTTATCTCCAGTGCAGACTCGATCTGTCTCCAGTTTTTGTCGGATCTCCCAGGCGAACAGTGCGGGGTTCTGCCGCTTGTGCTGCGCTATGATGGAGACGACATCAGGAGTCAGGAGTCTGGGTCTGCTGCCTCCCGTTGCTTTAGGACCAATGAACCCTGTGCGCTGAAACCTGCCCAAAATCTTACTGACGCAGCCGTTGGAGACCTGCACAGAGCACACTGTTAATCCAGCTTGTTGATATTCGCATGAACACATGGTAAAGTGGGAATTTTACTCAATACCTTCAGTATTCTGGAGATCTCACATGGTCTCACCCCCTCGTTCGCGAGCTCAATCATCAGTCTCCGTTTATAGACGGGCAGAGGACGGCCGTTCAGAAACACACCGCCCAGCTGATTCACACTCCCTTCCCCTGACACATATCCATACACACGCTACATTATTGGGAGGTTTGCACATTTACGATAAAGTGGAATTTCTTACAAAATCAGCTGAAAAAAGGTATAAAACTGGGCCGGTACACTTTCAAACTTAATTTCAATTTAAGCAGGCTATAAATTTTAGGTACTAAGGCTATGTAGGCTATCTTTAAAATACTAATATTCACCATTTAAGGTGGTGAAAATTACACAACCTAAATTACACAATTACCAATGTGTAGGCCTACCTTTTTTTCTGATAGTGTTGAAAAGAACGGTTTTCTGCGTCTTTGCGGTATAAACGCGGCAATATAAATGTTTTCATATAACATTTTAATATTTTTTTCTGATTTACAGGCTACTCAATTCTATGAGTTTCAGCTCGTTTTTCATCAGTAAAAGTCTAACTTCAGTACAGCTTTGATTTTTTTACTAAGAATGAAGACAGTAATTAGGGGGTGAAAATCTTTGGAAGAACTGTAATGATCAATTGCCAACCTTCGTTTCCCAGATCAGAATTTGCGCCGCACATCCCAACGGGCACCTGGTAGCCTTGCAAAAAACAAAACAAAACAAAAATTATATTTTAGTTAACATTTGATGTATTAAATTATAATGAAATCTACTGCGAGAAAAACACACACACACACACATTGCAAAACGAATGAGTTAAAATGCGGTTAACCCTCTTCTTACAGCCGAGAAGGTCTTAATCTTCTTGAAGGAGATGCGTCCCTGCGCGTGGCCCCCACTCACTAATCCCCACGCGTGACTTCTTATATATAACCCAGTGCCTTTATCAAGAAGATGACGTACTGTCCACATAGGAAGAAAGTAAATAAAGACTCTCGATGGTGACTATGTGCTCACCAGTGATCACAAAGGTTGGTATGCAGTTTTTTAGTTAAACGTTTTTGTATAGCGGTGTTTCCTGCGTGACTGCGTCAACTATTGACCTTTTTGGCCCACACAATTTCACTATACTGACCGCAGCATCATAATTCGCGTTAAAAGGAGGAATAACCATAACATATATACGAAGTTCGCGCGCACTCCATTTCATATTAAATTCAGTTATTAGCTTGAAAAATATTTTAGATAACTGACATGAATCTTACTATGGCAGTGACGCACAGGACGGACCTCAAAGTAGGCCTACCTTTGCATTAAATTTAATGCAGCTTACATTTAGAATCTCTCAAGAATTCCTTTAAAACAGTCGCCCGCTATTGTCACTGAGTAATTCACTCAGTTTGCATCAACGGGACAGATGATTTCCTAGACTTACAGGTTCCATGCATGCGCATATAGGCTATGAGAACAAACATTTAGTGTAGGTACAAAGACAAAGTAGTTGCTTTTTTTCCACTTGAGGACGTGTGTTCAGTTAGCTAAACCACACTTGCATCATAAATGCTTGGTGGGTTTGTATCATCGCCTTTGCTGAGCGAACAGAGCAGCAAGTGTGGAGTGTGTGATTTCAGCACCACCCTGCGCTGAAAAGGTCCCATGATGTTCTGAATGAGCGAGTGAAAGGAGTGCGCGCCCACATATGAAAGTAGTCAGCTCCTAAAGGATAATTCTGAAATGTTAAACTCATTTATGAGCCTATACAAGCCCTATTTTACTTCTGTTATTCTCAAACGACTGGAGATTGAGGCTCTCCGGCGGTCACGTGACTGGCGCATCTTTCATCCTTCCACGCGACGACCGTAGGCTACATGTTAATCAGATTTAGTTCTTTTAAAGCAAACATTTGAAAACCTGCTCCAAAGACGACTGCCATATGGTAAAGTGCTTTTGATAAATCATAAATCCATCATGGTGCCCCTTTTATTACATTTTCTTTCAAGCATGAACAAATAGAGTCAGAGGGGCAAATGTGAACCAATTGTGGTTTTATTTATAAAAATAGTGAGTTGAAAACCCTCCCAGATGTCCCTTGTCTGGCCAGCAGATAAAATGTGTTGTAAACGTTTCAAAGGAAATATTTGGAGAGCAAATATTAGCGAGAGAGTATCCACACAAGCCTCATCTTTGGTCCTGCTCAATGACTAATTGGGCATCATTAGGTAAATCCACACAGATCGAAGATTGTGGAAATAAGGTTGGATTTTAAAATGCCATATGGTGCAAATTACATATTAACCACCCCTTACAGCATAATAATAACTGCAGAACTGGACGGTCCGCATATAAACGCGACGACCGGTTTGAACGCCAACATCTCCTTGCCAACGAGATGAAAAGACAAATAACATATTTATTTGTTACTTCAAATAGCTTTACGTTATTTTGATCATTTTTGAACGAAATAAGTTAATGGAACGAGTTAACGCTTAAAAAATGAGATAAAAATGACGAAATCCTCTCTGTGCGCAAATTTGTCTGGCACTTTGGGAATGTTTACAGTTTGAACATTTAAATCAAAACGATCTTGATATATTCACGGATCTTGTGCCATCAGAAATCAAGAAAGCAACCTAAATTATTAATCTTTCCATGTTGTGCTCTGAATTATAGCACTAAACTCTGATATTGCACCCGCGTAAATGTGCACTTGGAGCTCTCCAAACGCGCACACGTGTTATGCACTATTCAAATAGCCATTCAAATACTGGGATGCAGCTTTAAATTAAGAGAACACGAAAATTGTTTTGTTGACACTAACTTTAAATCATGGAAATCACCTTTTTAGTTCTCACTGTTTGCACGAAAGTTAACATATTTATTTGTTACTTCAAATAGCTTTACGTTATTTTGATCATTTTTAAACGAAATAAGTTAATGGAACGAGTTAACGCTTAAAAAATGAGATAAAAATGACGAAATCCTCTCTGTGCGCAAATTTGTCTGGCACTTTGGGAATGTTTACAGTTTGAACATTTAAATCAAAACGATCTTGATATATTCACGGATCTTGTGCCATCAGAAATCAAGAAAGCAACCTAAATTATTAATCTTTCCATGTTGTGCTCTGAATTATAGCACTAAACTCTGATATTGCACCCGCGTAAATGTGCACTTGGAGCTCTCCAAACGCGCACACGTGTTATGCACTATTCAAATAGCCATTCAAATACTGGGATGCAGCTTTTAATTAAGAGAACACGAAAATTGTTTTGTTGACACTAACTTTAAATCATGGAAATCATCTTTTTAGTTCTCACTGTTTGCACGAAAGTTCATGGGTGTCTTACAAATGAGAAAGTGCACTTCTGTGCCAGTGCAAGAATGCAGATGAACATCTAATCTCTTACATTTCCTACCCAAATCTGTAATTGAATTACATAATTGTTTAAAAAGTTGCACTATATCATATCCAAAGCTCTTGGTTACCTATGTACCCAGCATTTTAATAGTTCAATACGCGTTACAGTGAGACAGCTGGGAACAGTCAAGAATAGAAATAAATATTTAATTTCTTACACAGTACTTTATATGACCATATGACCATATCATAGAAGTGATGATATCACGCGCATTTTTCTGTTTCTATATTGGTTGCAGGCTTATGCGAAGGGAAACATGTATTTAGGTTCTTGCGCGCGCTTTGATCCGAGTGTTAATCGACAATGAACGGCCAATGTTTCATTAACTCCTTTATAACATTAAGAGTTTCGGACTGGTCGTTTTATTAATCAAGTAAATTGACAGTCAAAAGGGTTAATTATAATTCTATGGTTGTGGACGTGAGTCCAATTTATGTCCATATTGTAATATGTCCAAATATATGTCCGATTTGACTTCCAGTTCATATAATACGTTTATGATTTTTTTTATTAGATAAAAATAAGTAGGCTATTGTAAAATAAACTATCATTTCATTTGGGCGCAGCATGCACGTTTCTATTTGTTCCAGCAGAATGATTCTTCCAGTGAATCTGGCTACTTCCTTTTAACATAAGTTCATGATCTACTAATCATAAGAAAAAAGGTCGATGTCGACCAAGGCGCATTCGCTTCATTCTAAGCATAGAGACGCGTAATATTGAGTTATAAATCAAGTAAAAGGTAATTTGTCAAATGGCGTCATCCAGTGGTCAGTGAGCACCTCCGCAACATTATTATCAGTGTTCCATAGACAGATTGAGCTCTTATTTCATGCATACAGCGTGAGTCTTTTCATTAATGTCGAATCATAAATGTCAGTCATGAAACATGCATAATTATGAAACCCACCGTTATTAGTAGTAACTAATTAAAGAACGAAAAATTAAAGTAAAGTGGTTTCAGTTTCGGTATCACAGTGACACATTCAACAAGTTATTACACACACCGTTATAATCATGCAGCTTTTACGTTATTGCGTGTATGTTTTTTTTTTTATTTGTAAAAATCGAATTCCAAAATCCAAATTACAATTAATCAATATAACACTTAAATGTCTCATCATCATGTAGGCTACATCATCATCATTATCATTATCATAGTAAATTATGCGGGAGACCCGAATTAAATGAGCAAATCTTATATATTTTTGTCTTTTGACATGCTTTATGGATTGAAAATAAAAAGTTTTATTTTCACGGCACTTACATTTAACAGTGTTAATAGAGTCTAATGTGATTTTTTTTTTTTTAATGAATTGCAATTTACGAACTGAATTGTGAACAATAACTTTCATACAGGTACAAAGACCAGTGATACATTGGAGTTACGTCTGTCTCATTTTCATGTTGAACACAGAAAAGTATAGATAGATAGACAGATAGATAGATAGACAGATAGACAGACAGACAGATAGACAGATAGATAGATAGATAGATAGATAGATAATGCATAACTATAAAAAATAAATACTCCATATTTACATCTCCAGTAATAAGCCTATAGGCCTATATCTTCACTGAACATATGCTTATTCAAAGTCTTATGCGCCAAGTTATAGCCTCTAAAGAAAATAAGTATGAATGAAACAGTGGCCAAGTTAGAAAAAGAACCCAAATGAATTAAAATTAATTACAAATCTTAGACATTTAAGGGGGTGTGTTGTATACGTGCACACACTTTTTTCAAATCTGTGCTGACGTGTCGAACCTCCCCACTTACCGGATGTCATCACTCGCCTTCTAACGTCACAAGCAAATCGCCCCATTCAGCGCACGAGTGTGACGCGGTGACCGAGGAAGTGCAACATTTCGACGTGTACATCCTCACGCTGTGCTTCCGGTTAAGCAAAGCGTGATCAGTCGTACTCAGTCTCTCTTCCCTTCTTCGGCTCACAGTAGAGGCGTCTCGTAGGATTCTCCCGGTTCCTTTACCTCTCTCTCTTCCCTCCCTAACGGAATACTCATTCAGTCCAGCGGACATGGCATCTGCAGTAACGGCACAAGTTCAGTCCAACCCAGCTTCAGCTCCGCAGCTGCAGAGGGGAATAGTGAAGATGGTAGGAGAGCACACGGGACATAAGTATTGGTCTGGGGGTGCTGGCTAACTCACTAATGCTCACGGGGGAAGAAGTGACTGCGAAGACTTCAAAAGTTCAGATCTTTTATGTCAGGCATGCATCATGCAGCTTATTGCTTTTCCTTCAGTTCTTTTGACTTTTGGCGAGTCTTTCAGTTGTTTCCATGAGCAGCAGAGATTGAGAGAAGTTGAGCGGTCTTCAGCTGTGATCCAGATGGCCAGTTATGCAACATTATAGTCAAAGTTTCGTTCAACCTTTGACGTCTTTCATTTGCTGTTGTAAATGATGCCAAACATTATTATATACCAGTCGCGGAGTCTAAATATTTTGCAGCAGCTACTACTCAATATTTGTAAAGAGGCACATATTTCAGAACAAACTCTGATAGTTTGTTAAACACTGTCTTTTATCAAAGCTGAGCTTTTTAAACAGTTCTAGAGTTTGTTCTACACTGATTTAAACTAAAAAGCTAGGGCAAACCGCAGATTTGTGGGTTGAATTTGCGGTTAAATGGAGGGTTTAACGGGATATCAATTCAAGCTAGTGATTCGAAACTTTTGAATCGGTTCACCAAACGATTCATTCTCTGATACAGTCAGGTTGCATTCTTTACGCCAGTAGGTGGCGGCTCATGAGTGTTTTTTGCGTTATTATGAGAGCGTTTATTGAATCATTCACTTGCTCAATCGATTCGTTTAGAGCGTTGCAAAGTGTTTTTACAAATGACAAAAAAAACAGGTCTGTTTTTTTCCCTGCATCCTGCCAAGCTTGACATTTATCAGTATACAAGTGTGTGTGAGAGAGTTAATTGCTTGCGGTCAAAAGTCATTTTTACACATTCATAGTTCTCAGTTCTTGTCAGGTTTTGAATGCACTGAATAAAGTTGAAGAAAATATGGGTCCCTGCAGTGAATGAGAGAACGAATGAGTAACTTTCGTTCATAAACACCTGCTCACTAACTAATCAAGTGCAGCCTGTCAAAGTCATATTCTGGAATGACCTACATGAATATGGTGTGTTACTAGTTTTTTTGTTTGTACTTAAGTTCAAAGTTCAGGTGTGTTCCGCTAGTCTGACGTGTGAGGTCTCGTGTGTGCACTGGAGGAACCGCTCGAGCGCAGTTTTATGCTGTCGCTCGCGTGTTACAGTGTTTCTGTAAGACTCAATGAGCGGCCAGCTTCCTCAGGCCCCCTAACCAGGCAAGGCGCCGCAGTTTTGGACTGTTTACTTTGTCTGCTCTGGTGAGTGAAGGGGGAGCAGATATGAGAAACTGACACGTAGGTCTTTAGCCAACCAAGAACTGTATATGGAGAAACTCAGGACAGTAACGCGAGAGAGTCTGGACGTAAACGCTACATGAAAACAAACCGGTAGAGACGTTATTAAACTCAATTATGAGTTATATACATTTTTTTATTTTAATCATTTCAGCTGTTATTGTTATAAAACGGTCACTTAATGTATCCTGGTAACCATAGTTCCCGCCAAAATGCCATCGCTGTTATTACAAAAACATTCTAGCTTATTGTTAGCCAAAACAATAAAATAAGCTAAACGTAATAGCAAAAACCTCTTTTCGCTAGTTTGAAGGAGATACCTAATGTATTTGACGATTTTTTATATTGATTTTATAGATAGAATCCATCATTAAGAATTGCAGATAATTGATTCAGTCAATATTATCAGTTCCATGGGGCTAAGATATCCCCCTAATAAAACTAAGTTTCTGACACTTGGTTGAAATGGTTCCCATTGTAAGTTATGTAAATGAAAATAAAAATGTCATGACCTGTCTCATATAGCTTTGTTTTAGCCTAAACATGTAGTTTCACTGTTTAAAATGAGCAGAGCACTTCCCAGTCTTGCTCAACTCCTTGTTAAATCAAAGCGTGGTGGATTTGGGAAATTCATGGATATTTTCCACCCCAGACTGTGGTGACGGAGGTCTGTATATTCTTCCATAGAGTCAGTAATTAGGCAGGCCTTCTGTTCTCAAGGCCTTTCTAAAGGAAAGAATTAACTCTTCCCTGTTTGGCCTCCACTTTCTTGTTTTATTAGACATTTAATAAGTTTAGGTAAAGTTTTCACAATCATAACACTGATAACAATTAGTGTTTGTGACGTGGCTTTGCGTTTGAATAAAAATATTTTCAAACAGGACTGAAGCAGAAATTTATTCATCAATTAGAATAAAATGACTAAAATGGACACATAATCAAAGTTATCATTCAATCAGTTAATGTAATAATTTTGTAATAATGCAGATGTGTACCAGGAGTTTGGAGGAACGGCAAGTGATCTGACATTTGATTGGATAAGCCACTCCTGTAAAAGCTGTTTCTTAAGGCAAAAAACAAGCATGTTGAGACTTGTAAACATTAGTTCTGTAAAACATCTTAAAGAACAAGCACTGATTCAAATGCTAATGTGAATACACATAATCATTGATCTCAGAGGGGCAAGGTCTCCCTGCCCTGAGTGTTTTAAGTTGTATTTGTTTAGGGCTGCTAAAGCTGAGGCTTCATGCTGTGATTAACACAGTAGTGATTGTTTCACTTTTGTTATCTTTGGTTAGTGGGTGTAATAGTTGTTGTTAAACTGTTGGCCAAACACAAACAAGCAGGTCCTAAAGGAATTATGGCCTCGGATCAGATCCCTGAGGCATTCAGTGTTTGACTTGCAGATTGATTGTTTGTATCATGCATTGCCTATGTCAGTACAATTACAACTCTCATCATTATTGACATGACTGGAATGATATACTGTTTATGAAACATTATATAAGCACTCACATTGATTTGTTTTCCCTTGCAGGTCTTGTCTGGTTGTGCTGTAATCGTTAGGGGTCAGCCGCGAGGAGGACCCCCTCCAGAACGACAGATCAACCTGAGTAACATCCGAGCCGGAGCTCTCGCCCGTCGTGCAGTTCAGGGTCAACCAGACACCAAAGACACACCAGATGAGGTAAACATCAACCCTGCACAGAGCTTTTTCTTTTTCATTTTAGAAAAGTATTTTTCTTATTTAAGGGGTCAGCCGCGAGGAGGACCCCCTCCAGAACGACAGATCAACCTGAGTAACATCCGAGCCGGAGCTCTCGCCCGTCGTGCAGTTCAGGGTCAACCAGACACCAAGGACACACCAGATGAGGTAAACATCAACCCTGCACAGAGCTTTTTCTTTTTCTTTTTAGAAAAGTATTTTTCTTATTTATTTATTTACTTCTTGTTTACGCAGTGAATTTGTTTTATGGGTCATGTTAACTAGGGCTGTCAAAATGACTGCAAAACTACATTCAAATTTTCTACTTAAATATAATCAAAATTCGAATTATATTCTTATTTAAAAGGCATAATTTCAGTTAGGGGGAAAAAAGCTTTTGGCTTCTCTCCCGAGGCCACAAGAGAAAACAGCATCATGCATGTATGTATAGTTTAATACAAAGGACCGAAAACCAATCACAAAGAGTAGGCTACTTTCTTCATTTAAAAACTTGAGATTGGGATGGGGAAAAACAGCCAAAACGTCTTTAGACATGTTTTTTAAAAGTTGAACTTGCATTAATTTTACATGGCTTTCTAAACATGCCGCTCTCTGCGAGACGCGAGTGCAACGCTGATAGATGTCCCTCTGGAACATGTGATAAATATGCGTGCTGTGTGAATGGCTTGGTTTCAGTTTTGACGTAAACAACAACATCTCCACACTGATGCTCTCGTTTTCCGCAATATATGAATGAACAACGTAGCAGCGCCGCATCTAGTGGGTTCAACTGGATAGGCTAACAAAAGCATTCAAATGCAATCAATGACACATACATCGTCATCGCATCTTGTGCGCCACTGATAACGCTGCCTGACGGCTGACGCAGACCTTAAATTCGAATGCAAAAACTTTTTTTTTTTTTTTTTAATTCGACGAATATTCTAAATTCTAATTTTTTTTGACAGCTCTAATGTTAACTATTTTAATGCAAATAAAGCAGCAATTCCATCCACTGAGTTCAAGAGCACCAAAAACAAAACTAAATAAATAAATATAAAATAATAATAAAAAAAATAAATAAATGAAAATCACAGTTTCCTGGGAAATTGATATAAAATTGAAGTTGAGGCCACTGTGTCTTTTATTAAAAAAATGATTTGCGCAGTATATACATACAGTGTGTCACAATTAGCAAATTATGCTTTTAATGTGTTCAAACTTTAAAAGTGCATTAAAACTGAAATAATACAAAGTCCTTAAACATGGAAAGCAATAGAAATGTAGTATCTAAGTCAAGTTTAATTATGTTTTTCCAAAAAGATAAATGTTTCATCAGCTTTGAGAGCGCTGTGGGACACGAACAGGACAAAGCTAACTCGGAGAGCATAAAATATATGGTTCTGATTGGAACTCTTACTACATGTAAAGAACCTTTTAAATGGGTCCTATTATGCTCTTTTACAAAGTCTTGATTTTGTTTTGGGGGTGTACTAGAACATGCTCTTATGCTTGGTGGTTCGAAAAACGCATTATTTTTCACATAATTTACATTATTAAAATACCTTTCTCCCAAGCCTGGTTTTCTCTGATGCACTAACTCTGCAGCAGCACTTCTTCTTCATCGTCTTGTCTGATGCACTCACTCAACCAAGCGTTCTAACCACAACCTCGCCCCTCCCCACCCCCCAACCATTCTAATTTCTGTAGGCGGGAATT